GCATTCTCTACAAACCTTAACATACTGGTCTCATCTGGTGCTGATGCCCAGGCAAGTTTTGTTCCATATGCTATCTCACTTTAATACATCAAGTCATGGCATGATCAATGAGCATTCTTAATAATATTGAGTGCATATGGATTGGATTATGCTTAAGTTCATTAACTCTGTGCAAACTTCTGGGTCTCTCAAACTGGGGTCATATGCTTGCTAATGCTTAACATGGTATTCAAATTGGCTTGGATTAATTGCTAAAGAAATCATGAACTTTGGGTGAACTTGCTTTTTAAAAATACTAAATCTGGAACTCACATCTGCGTCCCCTGGTCGGATATATCAAGTTTGTATCAAACTGCACATTTAAGAGAGGTTAATAATGGCATTGTTAGAATTCAAGTTTTAGAGAAATTTGCAAGTCAATCCAAACGTCCCAAAGTTTGTAATTTTTATAAAGCAATAAACCTTATTCATGACATTCAAGGAAAACATTAGCTGCAGCCAGAACATTTTCTTAGATACTTCGTAGTGCTGTCGGTTTTTTCCATGTTCTCCATCCTTCATCAATACTATCGCCTTAAAATCCCAACTATGTTGGGGTTACTGGCACGAAATTTAGTATCTGTTAATTACCACAAATCACTAACCCTATACATTCAGGCCAGAAACAGCGATAATGTTTTACATCGGATGCCTTTTCCACTGCTACCTTCTTATGAAGGAACAATGAAATGAAATTTCAAAATTGTCACCATCATAGGTTTTTCTACTTGATTGTGAAATACCATGAGACAAAGTTGTGTGTTGAGATAGGTGTCCTCCACGTTTCCATGTTCTCAATTTCAAACTAAAAATTCTCTACAGCTTTGTGTGTGGAGCATTGATACATGGGAAAAAAGAAAATCGGTTCCCATCCAATTGCCTGCTGGTAAAGCACCCACGGGTGACACCCGAGTGCAGTTCCATGCCGACCAAGTCCGCTTGCTGGTAGCACATGAAACACAATTGGCCATATACGATGCCTCCAAGATGGAACGCATACGCCAGGTAAAACACAAATGTGTTTATCAAAACTCTCGTATTTCGATGCTCCATGAACACTAATTTTTATGATGAGCTTTTTATTGCAGTGGGTTCCACAAGATTCTTTACCTGCACCCATTTCATATGCTACCTACTCCTGCAATAGCCAACTAGTTTATGCGTCCTTTGGTGACGGGAATATTGGAGTGCTTGATGCAGATACCCTAAGACTGAGATGCCGAATAGCTCCATCTGCTTATCTATCTCAGGCAGTATTGAATGGGTAAGAACACAATTTACATTTTCTTTCTTTCTTTCCAAAATCAATTCTTCTTCTTAACGGCCTAAACATTTGTGTTGGTTGCAGAAGCCAAACAGTGTATCCGCTCGTTGTTGCAGCACACCCACAAGAAGCCCATCAATTTGCAGTCGGGTTGACAGACGGGTCTGTTAAAGTCATAGAACCATTGGAATCTGAAGGGAAGTGGGGAGTATCTCCTCCTGTTGATAGTAATGGAATGCTAAATGGTAGGGCAACCTCATCGTCTGCCGCTAGCAACCATATATCAGACCAAGTTCAAAGGTGAAACTATCTTGTGTTTTGACAGTGACAGTGCATTGTAATTTATAGGAATAGATTTTAGAGGTTGTTTTTTTTTGGCTCCCTCTATTAAAGGATACAAGAATTGGAATTGACTTCAAAGGGCTAATGTAATATGTCTTTTTTTAGTTATCATTTTTACGATTAATTTCTACATAGAGTTTTGTTCAAAGTTTGGAATGTATTTTAGTTATCAGTTTTACTAAACGTCAAAAATTACTACTCCCTCCTTCGAGGAAAGAACTTTCTATTTGGACTTTTCTTCATTTTTATGAAGGGTTGACTTATGGCTCGAAATGCCTAAAATGCCCTTTAAAAAATTTGAATTAAATGGAAGGAAAGTTGGTTGAACACAAATTTAATCATTAGAAGCATTGTTTACAGAAATTGGGGTTCTCTCCTTTTTAGCTACCGCCCAAAAATTTGACATTCAAATTGGATTTCAGCAGCTTATAAAAGTCTCTTGCCCTTTCCCTTTTTGGCATTCACTGACGCTTCCTCTTTTTCTTTTTCTTTTTCCTTTCTTCTTTTTCCTTTTTTCGTCCATACTTCTTGGAACACTGGACACAAAATGAATAACCATCATATAAGCACTAAGAAATTGGATGACACAACAAGGCAGCTGATCAGTGATGCACTACAAACACATTTAAAGTAAAAGATAGATAGTTCATACTCAGCTGAAGGCAAGTCAAAAAGCTTACTGTACAATTTAATGTGTCTAGAAAAAACAATGAACAATACATGGGCTATTGGAAATAAATAATTACAGTAGGAGGCTGCCATCAATGTGAGAATCAGAATGGTAGGAAATAGTGGCGGGAAAAAGGCAGTAATGAATGTAAAAGCTATTGCAGATACTCTTCTCCGGAATAGGACTAATGTAAGAAGTCTAACAGTAGTTGCCATTGGCAAGCTCAAGTCCACTGTGCATGAGTTGATAAGAAGAGATATGCTATAGAGCCATTCTAATGCTATCAAACCTTACTTAACAAATGCTAATAAACTTTCTAGGTTGAGATTATATTTAAATCAGGTCAAACCCTACAACATGCTCCTCCAATCTAGATTTAAAGTTTTCAAAATATTTTACTCATTGATGAGAAGTGATTCCTTATGTCCAGGGCTTCAAAGAGGTTTTATTACTTTTAGATGAAGTAAACTCATACAGAACAAGTAAATCACAAAGGTTCATAACTAAAGTCATGTTCTTTTGTGTGGCTGGGAGACTACTATTTGCTGAAAATGAAGAAGTATTATGGGATGACAAAGTTGGTATATTCCACTTTAGTGAATCAGTTAAAGCCAAAAGAAAGAGCAAAAACAGAGCTAAAAGGGCGGTGGAGGTGAAACCAATCACTAGTTACCAAACAAGTCACAAAAGACATGCTAATCAACAAGTTGATTCCAACTATCCATGAAAAGTGGCTAACACAATTATCTAAAGACATACGCATCCAACAAGATAGTGCAAGGCCAACATTCAAGGATTTGACTCAGACATAAGGAATGCAGGTAACACAAATGGTTTTCACATCAGTCTAGGTAACCAACCCCCCAACTCCTAAGGCTTAAATGTGTTGGACATTGGGTTTTCAGAGCCATCCAGTCTTTAAAAGAGAAGTGTGCTCCAACCAGCATGACATAGTTGTTAGAAACACTAGAAGGAGCATACAATGCTCTAACTCCAAAAACTCTAAATAAAGTATGGTTGACTTACCGGCAGGTGTTGACTAAAGTAATGAAACATAAAAGAGGCAATAACTGTGGATTACCACATATGAGGAATGACATACTTACCAGGGAAGGGATACTCCCTATGAACTTGAACATAGATGTAGACTTAATTCATAAGATAGTTACACTACGGGAGAGGTACGAAGTCACTTGACCAGTGGGATTACACATGAAGACATGATTGAGTTCAACACTAAAGATTGAGGTGAGTACCTATATTTAGAGCTGAAATGAATCCATGTTTATATTCATACTTTATTTTTTGGATTACTTTGGGTTATGATTTTTGTAAGTGGTAGTGAAAGTAAGTTTTTGTAAGTGGTTACCACATTTAGTTTTTTTCGGCTTTTGGTTTTTGTAAGTGGTAGCCATATTAGGGTTTTGACTTTTGGGTTTTGCACCATGTAATGTCCTGCCATATAAGATATGCATGTACTCACATTAAGGCAACTAACACTTACTGCTATATACGTAACCATGTTGAATGAAATACAAAAGCCAACATATGTTTCTCAATAGTGAAGCCCACTTCATCATTGTTGATGTTAATGCATGCACACTTACATATAACAGATTCACAATACCACTAACTCCACACAATGTGTTACACATTAATTACTGAGACACATCCCATATTGGTATAATGCTCATCACAGGAGGTTTGGGTTTCTCATACATTGTAAAAGAAATTGCACGCATCACAGAATTTGGCTAACAAAGTGCATATATGGAGTATTGTATAACATACACACATACACATCACACAATCACATCATCACTAAGAGCACATATGTATATCACTAAGAGCACTCAAAAACATCCCATTATGGTAAAATGTTCATCACAGTAGCTTGAGTTTTTTCAAACAATGCAAAAAAATTACAGTCATCACAGAAATTAGCCAACACTAGTTCATATAGGCAGCTTTCTATAACATGGAGGCATACACTGATACACATAACATAATCACAGCATCACTAAGATCATAGATCTGTAACAGCTTGAGCACTCAGAAATTGACCATAATGGTAAAATGCCCACCACAGCAGCTTGACTTTTATCAGAAAATGCAAACTAAATTGCAATTATCACTGAAATTGTGGAACAAAGTTCATATATTGTAATGACCCAAAAACCGGCTTAGTAGTTAGCCGTTATAAATATAGTATTTATTACTCAAAAATATGAATTATTTGTAAAGTTGTCCGTTTTAAATAAAAATTAGGTGTTCGGGTAGATCTCGTAAAATGGTGACCAACGATATATAGTTGGTCATAATTGGATTTACGTGTAAAGCGTGGTGAGTAAAATAGAAGTTACAGTTCAATAAATAAATATAAAGAATTTAATAATAAAATAATAACTAGGGCAAGGTTCAAAATTTGACTCCAAAGTGAAAATCAACTTGTGGGGTGCAATTGAAGGGGGTGGGGGATGAGTTCAGGTCAGGGCGGGGTGAGGGGGTAGGAACCGTCAATTTTACGAACAGAGCACCGGAGCGCCCCGGGTCATCCCATGACAAGGGGTAATAACTAATAAAATTAAGTTTCCTAAATCGACCCGTCACGCACCACGAAACCCATTCCCAGCCCAAAATCCTTTTTATAAATACATATATTCATGGAGCTTATTATCATAATCCCTACGCAATAATTGAGGATCACGCACGCCGCACGCATAGAGGACAGAAGCCGGGCTGGAGAGGGAGGAAGACCGCTGCCGCGTACGTAGCCGGTCGTAGCTGCTCTGCTGCTGTTTCAGTCGCCGGAAATAGAATCGCTACCCCGCCGTGTTGCCACCGTGACCAGCGCCGCTGCTCTGCCATCTTCTCCATCGATTGAATCATTGATCTACTATGTTAAATACGTCGAATTCGAGGTTAGAACTTGCACATCTAACGCTAGATTTCGTGTATAGATTTGAAATTCATGTTTGTAGTTTTGTATGATTGATTACGTGGTTTATTTGATTATAATTAAATTATGATTTATTTACATTATATATTATTGTTGGAGTTGATTGAACAAGGATGACCAGATACATTTTCTTATTTCAAATTTGTGGGATTTGCATGACGGTAAGTGGAAGGTGTTACACCCGACACTAGGCCGATAATTGAGTTATATGATTGGTTATCTGATTAGTGTTATCCCTCTAGTTGTAATTAAATATAATCCTGCAATATTTTGGAAGTAAATAAGGAATTGAGATGGATGTTGGAATAAGTCTGAATTATAGGGATGTTGTAAGTAAATGAGTAGGCTACCTAGGGGAAACTCTAGGACTGCTTTAGTGAGATTGTAAGTATAAATGTCAATAGATAGAATCAGCCCTGCGGATCTGATATCCGACGGCTGCGGGTTAAAACGTACGTACGGGATCCAGGAACTGTCGTTCCGAAGGGGACAGGGGTACCACCCACCCAGCGGAGAACTTCTTCGTTGGTCATCAGGTTGTGTTGTGTCATAAGGCGCTAAATAAGGTAGACTTGAGTCATGGCCGTAGGTAGTGGCTCTAAGTCCGAACATTAGGTTATAAATAAGAAAGTATGGTCTTGGCCTGGTAATTAAGTTATGAGCTATGAATAAAGAGGAAATAAGGTAATGATTTGTGACTTGTGAATTTATTTAATGACTGTTATGTGATATTATACTGTATACTTGTGTGCATGATATTGTATGAAGTTATGAGCTAGTGGGTTCGTCTGTGTGCGTAGTCGAAACGTTAGATAGTTCTCACTTAGCTTCAATGATGAGCGTGTAGCCCTTTTTCCTATTTGCTACACGTAGGTAACATGAATGATGAATAAGGAACTATCTTGGAGGGCAGCGAGGGCAGAGAGGTGGATGGATGCTAGCTGGAAGAGTTTATTATTTAATACTTAAGTTTGAATTATTTATGTTTTAAAGGGCAAGAACCCAAGGTTGTATTTTGAGTATGTACTTAAAGACTTCTGCACCGTTTTGTTAACTTCGATGGATATTTAAATAATGTTTTGAATTAAATGTTTTTAAATTGTTTTGAAAATTATTGTGTCTGAATACCAATTTAGTGACAACCCGATCCGCTGGTCCTTGTATTCGGGTTATGCGGGTTGGGGTGTTACATATATTGAGCACTTAGAAATAGATACTCAAAGTAGCAAAAATGTAAAGTTAAAGAGGTCAATGTCACTCCCATACTTGTACTTTGAAGCCCAAAAGTTAGGATCTGGAGTAGGTAGTAAGATGTTGAGCATATCAATATGGAGGTGCATGTGTGAATAGATCACTGGAGAAGTCTTAGATCCCTTAGAATCATCACTGTCTAGAATGAACTCAGCCTCATCGCTCCCAAGATTAACCCACTCTTGGTTCAATGTAAGGTCGATTACCCCCTCTCTGACTATTGAAACATCAGAACCAGCGTCCTCGCTGTCGATGACGATGATCTCATTCTCCTCCTTGCCATCAGATATAATACGCCCAACAATCACCTCTTAATCCTGACATCCACCATCTTTAACTTCGTTTTTGGAATATAGGAATTGTAATGGAACTCATGTGATTGCATTTGATTGGGCAGATGAAGAGTTCTTGGACATGGAGGACATGTAGATCTAGGGAGAGAATGGTTGTGCGAGAGAGTAGATCTGGGAATAATCGAATTAGATCTAGAAAAGTGAATGCGCTGGGTGGGGGGTTAGAGAGAGTACGATCAGTGAATGCGTGAAGGTGGGTGGGGGTAGAGAGAGTAAAGGGGCAATAAATGATCAAAGTATTTTTGGAACATTTAAGTTTAAAATTAAAAATGAGAAGATTAATTCCAGACGAGGAAAAAGAAGAAACGAGAAGATTATTTCCGTGTGGAGGGAGTATTTATTATTTGATCCGCCTAACTAAATGGAACAAATGTCACCTCTATACTCTCTCATAACATATGAAATTCTAGAGGTGGATATGAGCTGCCTTTGAATGTATTACGTGTCAATAATAACCAAAGTTGACATACACAAGTTTGGTTTGACATGATAAAACTAGTTTGGTGTGACGTGATACGCTCAAGTTTGATTTGACATGATATGTAGAGACTCTTGGAACTAGCATAAAGGTGACTGGTTGAGTGATGTGGTTGTTAGCTAGTAAGTTTGAAGATAAGAAGGTGTTCTTTCCGTTCTAATTTAAATCGTCTGTTTCAGTTTACGATATTTTATTGAAATCATTTTTAATAGAATTCACTCCCACCGTCATAGAGTATTTGTCCACATTTTTTGGGAACAAAAAAAAAACGTAATGGGTAACTCTCAAATGCCATTATTGTATGCCTCCTTCACAACTTGCCTCCCACACCAACTGATTATGCCAAATTCACCCTAACTGACCGCCAGACTCGCCTCAATTAGGTCCTGTTTTCTTCAGCTTATGAAATGAACACAAAAAATAGGAAAAGAAAGTTAGTGAATTTTGATCTTGTGAATATTAAATAGATAACTTAATTTCGAACAAAGGGAGTAACATATAAGAGATTAATGGACTGCTACGATAAGAAAGATAAGGCATATTTAAGAGTAGAGTATAAGATTTCCCATAAGGAAGCAAAATTAAAAGTTATTAAGGTGAAGAATGCAAATTTTGAATGCCTTTATAAGATATTGGAGGATTGGGCATAGTAAGATGCTTTTTTTGACTTGTTAAAGTGCGTGATAGAAAGGTCCAAAATCTAGAGTATGTGAGGTGTGTGAAAGACAATGATAGCAGAGTATTGTTCTAACACCCCAACCTGCATAACTCGAATACATTGGCCAGCGAATCGGGTTGCTACTAAATTGGTATCCAAACACAACTCATATTTACAAACAATTTAAAACAAATACCGCAAAGTATAATTTCAAACATTCATCGGAGTACTTTAAAAATAATGCAAAAGCTTTAGTCATTATTCAGAACAAACTTGGAATTCAAGTCCATAAAAGTAGTGAGTATTTAATTAATAAATAACAATCCACGCACATCTCTTCATCCTCATCGCCCTCCAGGAGTGGCTCTACGTTCATCCTGATCCTGATTACCTACATGCAGCAAAAGAACAAACGTTACACGCTCAACATTGAAACTGAGTGAGAAATATCTAACATTCTGTTATACATATAGATGACCTCACAAGTTCATAACATCACACAATATCATACACAAGTTCATCATGAATATCAACATAACAATTCAATTCATAAACAATATCGATAATATAACATATTATGCTCTCGTTACTTTTGTCAACAAACTTACTTACTTGGCTCATAACCTATTCCAGGTTTACGCTTATACTAACTCTGAGTTATTGGACTCATGACCTTCCCCTTCAAAAAAAGATCAAGCTCAACCAACTCGATAGTTCCTCGTTGGATGGGTGAGATCCTGTCCCCTTTAGAACGACAGTTCATAGATCCCCGTGTGCACGTTTTTACCCAAGCCACCAGGTGCCACATGGCTCTAACCTTTCTGTACTTATGGCATAACTTGCCTCTATTCCATTCAGGTAAAATCCTAGAGTTTCTATAGGTTCATATGTTACTTTAATGTTACATTACATTCACAAGTGCATATCTCATAAAATAGGCATAATAATCACCAACATAACAAAACACGATTAAATATCGGCCTAGCATTGGGTGTGAACACTCATGCTTACCGGCATGCAACATACAAGTCTCACAATAAATTCTCAACACGAAAATATGTTCGGGAACAATTCTGTGGTACCAGACGGTACCTGGTCCGGTATCTGGGTATCGATACGGTACTTGGGTACCGCCCAGCCAGTACCGAGTACCGGCTAGGACAGAGTTCGGCAGCATCAGATAGCCTGTGATGGTAGCCAGTTACCGTCACGACAGTAGGGTCTACCGTCTGGTCGAAGATTCTGCCAGCAAATTTTGGCCTGTGGCAATACCTGGGTACCGGTAGGCCGGTACCTCGCTATCGCCTAACATGATATTCCTGTTCCTGCACCAGCTTTAATTCCAGAACAATCCAACACCAATTCCATAAATTTCGTTACCAATATGTATATAATTCAATTCCTAACCATATCTTATCTTACCTTGATTATAATTGTATCAATTCATGCATTCTAACCCACAACTACCAATAATCCAATTGAACTATCACATGTAGGGTTTCACAGAAATCAACCGTAATGATTCTATGGACGTAAGATTCAAACCTATAGATATAACATAGTGTTAGATGTCCACGTACTCACCTCGATGGTTAGACGAAGAACTATGAAAATGAATTGACCTACGAATGGTGATGATGGCACGGGTAACGGAAGGCTTCTCCTCTTCTTCCTTCTTTTCCTTCCTTCTTTTTTTTCTTCTCCTTATTCTTCTTCTTTCTTCGGTTCTCCTTTTGTTCCTTGCTGCTGCTGCTCTGTTCTGGTCGACTGAAGGAGGCGAGAGAGAGAGAGAGAGGTACATAATATGGGCGTGCAGTATGGGGTTTTAGGCGTGTTAGGGGTGTATTTATAAGTATGGGGTTTGGGCTCCGTAAATAAATAACATACCTCAATTAAAATACTTTTTCGGGCCAACTTGCTCGGAATTCAAACTCGTTTGCACCGTCAGATTCGTCTTGTCGAACGCTAGACAACGGTATAATTTTTATATTTTATTAACGAATATTTTAAAATAAAGCCCAGGTCTGTGTCAATAATTAATTAATTATTCTTGATTTATTAATTCTGATAGGACGGGTTTGGAGGCATTACAGTTGTTTAGAGGCGTGACAAGAAGATTTTACTTTATCGAATGATAAATAAAGTCGTGCATACAACATAAGTTATCGAAAAACTTAATAGTAACTAAGAAAATTAATTTGAGACGGATGAGTATGAATAATTCACATACATTACACTCCCTCAAATGGAGTTACTTTAATTTTGCATAGTTTTTTTTATATCCGAGTAATTTGTAAACTTAAAATGTATACTTTATCTTGAGACGAAGGCAAAATAAATTAAATTTTTAGATTTAACATTGATCTCATACAAAAGATTTGTTTACCAGCTATGCGTTCATATATTATTCGAATAAAAATGAGTTTAAAAAAACGTAATAATCAAATGCATTTTTTAATCAAATTCATTTTGTTGTGGAAAAATAAAAGTCCTCCTTATGAATGCATTTTAAGAAATTGAAAGTCTTTGCTTTAGTCAAATTAGATATCAAATTTAGTATATTCATATATTCCAAATCTTTCAAATTGAGAGTTTCAATATCTATCAATTTTAGAAGATATCAAGATGTGAGTTTGATATATTTTTCCGTTGATCATTTTCTGTCACTGACTACACTGTCATTGCAAATTATTCCTGTTGTTGGTCACTTGGTCATTATCGTTGTAATGTCCGTCAAGCCGACATCAGAGTACATCACTGTATATAGAGTCGATACGAAATTACACTTTTAATCTTCAACATAACTCCGAAATAATAGGAAGTAAAAAAACTATTCCTTTCATCCTAAAACATTCTTCACAAACACAATTCACATGGTCAAATTTTAAATACTTTTTTGTTTATCTATTTTCGTTAGTTATTTGATAAAATAATATAGTCATGTCACATCTTGTTTTGTAGAACTTTTGATGTAATTTTTTAATGTATATATTTTATCCTTTAATTTTATACTTATAATCAAATGAATTGAATTGAAAATAATTTAGTCAAACCTCGTAAATCAAACTGGAAAGAAAATTTTAGGCCGGAAGAAGTATTTTTAGAATAGTACCAAAAAATAGACGACGAATATAATATTTAATACTCCCTCCGTCCCCAATTTGATTACAATTTTTTTTCTCTCATCTCCATAACTTTTGTTTGCTTACGCGATTTATTAAATACTTGATGAAATAAAATATTCTTGTCACCTTTTATTTTATAAAACTTTTGACATAGTTTTTTAATATGTAACATTTATTTTTTATCAATATACCAATTTGGGGACGGAGGGAGTACTTCATAGTAAAAGACTATTTATCCACATGGCTCCTCCAAGTGGAACGAAGGTTGATACCCCGTACCAATGGCAGAACGGCAACTAAGACCAGCAGAAATTTCAATGAAGAAATGACAACCCTAGATTCCTTCGACTTTGTATCCCCCCTTCTCTGGATTTTGTTATCACTTACAGAGTTTAATTTCGAAATATATATCTATAAACTGTAAACAGCTCAAAAACCTCTCAAAAAATTGTTCATTATATCTCGGCCAAAACCCTAAAATTTCTCTGGAAAACCTGTTACCACCATGAAGCCCTTCAGATGGAGATCAGGGATCGTCTGGCTATTTCTGATTTTGTCAGTATTTGATAATGAACGCGTCTCCGGAGAGCCGAGATCTCAATCTTCAAAAGAAGCTTATGTGACGCTTCTCTACGGCGACGAGTTCCTGCTCGGTGTTAGGGTTCTCGGCAAGTCTATCCGCGATACTGGAACCACCAAGGATATGGTTGCTTTGGTCTCCGATGGTGTCTCCAGCTATGCCAAACAGCTCCTTCAGGCACTTTTTTTTTTACTTTTGTTTTAGTTGTGTTTTGAAAACACGCACTTTTCCTGAATTTCAAAGTAAAAAAGTTTCTTTTTTTATTTAAAAATAGTACAATTTCCTTCTTTTATGGACTTATTATCACCTTATGATCTGCTTAGTGATAAGTTTTAGATAATCACTACTCTTTAGTGGAAACATTACCAAATAGCTTTATTTTGTAGCATTGCAGCGCTCAAGCTTTAACCAGAAGATTTATTTGGCTTACTGTCTTTTTGTGTTTGCTAGTTGGACATTTGATGCATATGTTTGATCTCTGAAAATCCTGTCTTTATGTCAATTTGCCTAAAATGAAAAAAGCAGCAGTTAACATTGAGCTTCTTGAGTGCCCAGATATGATTACTTCTGCGATTGCATTGTCTTTCTTGCGGATTGATTTAGGATGCTTTTGTGGTTTCTACGCAGGCAGATGGATGGATTGTGGAAGAAATTAGTTTACTGGCCAACCCAAACCAAGTGAGACCGACGAGATTCTGGGGCGTCTACACGAAACTTAAAATCTTCAATATGACTAATTACAAGAAAGGTGATTTGGTGTCTTAGTGATCCAATTGATTTGATTTATTATCAAGCTCTGTATAAATGAGACAATTTATTGTTCCTTTTGCTCACATAATTATGCTGGTAAAATGATTTTCTTCCCAATTGGATATTGGAATATGTGGGAATGAAGGAGTATGTTTCACTCGACCTTTTTCTTTGATCTGGCAGTGGTGTATCTTGATGCTGATACAATCGTTGTGAAGAGCATTGAAGATTTATTTAAATGTGGAAAGTTTTGTGCAAATTTAAAGCACTCAGAAAGGTTGAATTCGGGTGTTATGGTTGTTGAGCCATCTGAAGAAGTTTTTAAGGATATGATTAGCAAGGTTACCACTTTGCATTCATACACTGGAGGTATGCTCCATATTTTAATCCATTCAACTGCAATTACATTTTTCTGTACCAATTTGATGCATTCCTGGCTTCTTATAACACAATACTTGGGGGGTTTTTTGTTATCTACTAAATAAACTTGATATGCTATTTGCTCTAAGTATTAAATGTACCATCTTTTTGCCGGTGTAAGGAAATGAAGTTTGTTCGTATATTTACTCATCTGGCTGTACGTCTTCCCTTCATGTCCCATATGGTCGTGCATCATCTCATCACGTTAATCCCAAGTAGTTGGATTCGGTGGTGTGAAATGTTTGTAGTGTCACTTAGTTATCTAAAACAGTTAGTACTATAGATTCACGCAAAAAAAAGGTTCAAGATTGACCCCAAACATTACACAAAAAAAGCTTCAATTGAACATTAACTCTTTAAGCATCTCATTTAGTCCGTAAGCTAACTGAAGTAACTTAACGTTATGATCCTTAACTTTCTAGAAAACATTGATGGACTTTAACATGCTGCACTTGCAGATGCTTCAAACACAAGCAAAAATAAATATGCGAAGGAAGCACTATAAGCAATGAAACAATGATTTGAAACGGAAAAAACACATTATAAATTAAACATTTGATACAAAATGTGCTTTTTGGGGGATTTATTATGTGTTTCTGGATGCTTACAGGTGATCAAGGATTTCTCAACTCCTACTATGCTGGGTTTCCTAATGCTCATGTGTTTGACCCAAACTTGCCTCAAGATGTCTTAAATTCTAGACCAGTGCCTAAAATGGAGAGACTTTCTACTGTTTACAATGCCGATGTTGGCCTATACATGCTTGCTAACAAGGTATTCTTTAGTCTTATTATAAGTTTCTTCTTCCTCTGTCTTTTGTGTGTGTAAAAAATTGTAATCTTCTTTTCTCTTTTTTTCCCTTGATCTGAGCGTCATAGTGGGTTATAGATAATAAATCTTATATCTGCTGCTTGCAGAGAGCTTTAATGAAGCTTTTCACATGCATTTGGTTTTTTTTTTTAAATTTTATGTGCTGAATCTTTTATTACCGCTACTGCAATGTGCAGTTTTCTGGACTTGTTGGATAGAGGCCTTGGGCTAGGTGGTAGTTTTTTGGACTTGTTGTGTGCTTTGTATGCTTTATATGCTCTGTGCTCTCTGTTTGCAGTATTTTTCATTCGTTAACATTAGGTTGTTCTTTGCCTCTGTGTGCTTTGGGCTTTATCCTTGCCTCTTCTACTTTAGTATGTATCTCCTGCAATCTTTTATTACTTTTATATCTTTTATTACTTTTATAATCTTTTATTATTTTTTCCTTCTTGAGTTGGGGGTCTCTTAGAAACAGCCTCCCTACTTTTGAGTAGGGGCAAGGTCTGCGTACACAGACCCTCCCCCGACCCTACTCTCGTGGGATCCAACTGGGTTGTTGTTGTACTGCAATGTGCAGTGGATGGTTGATGAGAAAGAACTTTGTATTATCCATTACACTCTTGGGCCACTCAAACCATGGGATTGGTGGACATCTTGGCTTTTGAAACCGGTTGATGTCTGGCAGGTATTTCTTTTTACTACTTTCCTTTTTCATGTCAGTTATTTGATGGATGTTAAAAATTTCATTTATGAGTTTTATTTTTTTGGCATCTTAAGAGGCTTCTGTGCACTTATCCCCACAACTATATGACTTTCTTATGATTGTTGATGCTGCAGAATGCTAGGGTGCAGCTTAAGGAAAGTTTACCAGGAACCCAAGGAGGAAAAAATCCTAAAGATGATTTTTTTGTCAAATTACTTTTTCTTCTTCCGTTATTTCTTGTACTTTCCTGCTTCTACCGGTCATATTTACAGGTGAATAACATAAGTCATTTTTTAAATTGCTAGTCAACAATTTGATTATATTGTCTTAATGAAAATAACTTTCTGCTCTCAGACACACTCCATTAGTGATCACATAAAACATATATACTACAAATTCAGAGCTGGAGGTATCCTTCCTTACTCTGCAGTTCCTTCGTCCACCATCAGCTCTTACCAGCAGGTTCGTATTCTCATCAACTTTTGGAGCATGATAGCATTGATCAATATTTTACTCTTCCCTCTTGGATCCCTGAAAATGCTTGAGAAAGAAAATAACCAGGAAAACATAGAAGAAAAGAAAGAAAACGGTTGGGAAGATAGAAGTCTAAAATCAATAAATTTATTTGAGATATTTTTTTTTGTACTAATTTTTTGTCCACATCTCTCATGTAGGGCATAAGAAATCATATTTTTCAGTTTGCTTTGCATTTCCCATTTTAAAACTAAACAGTTGAAAACGAAACTCCATCATAAGAATTTTCCTATTCCCATGGCATTCTCCAGGTTCTAAAGATACCCTAGTTGATGTGCCGATTAGCCTAATTCTAATGATTTAGTAGATGGCTTTCTTAAACCGTGCCAAGTTACCATCTCATGAGCAAACATATATCAACTTTGCTCATGCATATAGGGTGTCATACTGACATGAACTTGCGATAAATGCACTTAACAAATGGTGCGCATTTTAAGGTACCTTCTTACCTGTGTGGGATGTCAATCTTTGTCTGTTTTGCTGCTGCTTTGTGGTCTCTCGGGCTCTCATTTCTGATCATCCCTCGTCAAGTATTGCCTTGGACTGGGCTCATTCTTATGTATGAGTGGACATTCACACTTTTCTTCATCTCGTTTGGAAGTTATTTGAACTTAGTCCAGAAACGGGGAAAGCTGATGGGAAACCAAGTGGGCTCTTCTCGAGTTGAATCTTTGGCATATGATTCAGCAAAAGGTTGGTTGATTAGACTCTCAATAGACTTATTTTTGGGCTTAATCTGATGTGCGGTTACCATTTATATTTGTTTATTTTTGTAGCTCATCAGCGGCAGCAGTCATGTTATGACATGGCTGCATGGAACTATAGTTTGGGAATGGCTTTTCTTGCCATTGCAACTCCATCACTGCCTTGTCTTCTTGGGGTCACTTCGCTATTTTTAAGGTAACCTGCCAGAGTCATTTTCTATCTATCTATTGCTAACTGCTAAGTTATCTCATTTTATATCTATGAATAAAGTGTACATTAGGTTGTGATTTGAACTAGTTGGTCCTGCCATTTTTCAGTTTTCTTGAGCAGTTGCACAAAATTTTTACCACTTGAAAAAAATTAGATGGACAAAATTTATAAAAAGTTCAATCCCTTGCACAATGTTTGAAATCTAGCCGTTTCCTCAAAACATGTCAATTTGGCAGTGGATTTATAATTTGATCAGCAATCTCACTAATTTTATGTCCTTGTTAAAATTAAGCCTCGCCATGCCAGCATGCCAAGAGGCATCGAGTTAGCAAACTTCAGACACTCATAATGAGTGCAAACGAGCTAATCACACGAGTTTAAGGTTAAATATGTTTTTGGTCCTTGTAAATTTAGTGAATTTTGATTTTGGCCCCTTTAAACTTTTTATTTAATTAAATATGTAAAAGATCTTTTTTTTTTCAAGGGGTCCTCCCCCCGACGTGGAACTTATGTTCGCCATGTTTTTGGTCCCGGTAAGATTTGTGAATTTTGTCTTTGGTCCCTCAATTTTTTCATTCAGCGAATTTCGTTTTTGGTCCCTAAGACATGGTTAACATCAGCTCTGCCTCCTAGTTTTTTTAAAAAAAGATTTTTTAGGGATCATAATAAAATTCACTAATTTTACGGGGACCAAAAACGTACTACGATCTTAACTCTAATTTATTATTGGGTCACCAATGTGGTAATGCCGACGAGGTTGGACCTTGGCCAGTTATCCAAGATTGGAATGTACCTGGAATTATGATCAAATTCAAAATTCCCGGACAAATTGTCACTAAACCTGCCTAAATGATTTGGTTTTTGTCATAATGAGGCCTTTATCATTTTTAGTAGTTTGCTTTCAACTCTTCCTCCTAGCCTAACAAGGCTTCATTTCACTGTTATTTGTTTAATGGAGTTGTATCAAGCAGAAATGCACATTCCTTTACAAAAAGGAACATATATGTTTATAGATAGGGTGTTGCTATATCCTCTCATTTTGGCTAAATCCACTCAATTTATGGTAAATGAACAATTTTATCCTTAAAAATTACAAAAGAAGGGTATTCGATGTAAGCCAACTTTTAAGGGAAAAGTTGTCCATTAAACATAAAAGGCGTGGATTTAGCGAAGAAATGTAGAAACCGTAAAAACCTCTTCTCCTCCGGGAAAACGCGCAAGTCATATGTATTGTAGCTGTGCGATGCATGTTTACAGGTTGGGTTTGATGGTAGCGGGAGGGATCGTTCTTGCATCGTTCATGACGTATGCGTCTGAGCATTTGGCAATTAGATCATTTGTACGAGGTTTAGAAGAGAAAGAAACGTTGAGGAGCAGTAGTAGTAGTAGAACCATATGTTTCTTATGTTGATGGATGGCTTCAATCTTTGCATGTCAGCTAACCACAACCTCTTTTTTTCTTCTCTTTATTTTTTTGTGTAGTTTGCTGTGTGTGTGTGTGTGTTTCCCTACTGTATGGCGGATTTTGTAAATGATGTTTGAATGGAAAAATTGCATGAAAAACACGACCATTGTTTTTTTTTAATTTCTGGGCACGAACTTTATCATTAAGCGAAGACTACCTCACGACTAGGGCTGTTCATTGGTCCAGAACCGGCACGGTAGGAGCACGGAGGAATTGACGGTTTTGGCAATGAAGTGATATAAATAATATATTAGCCTATTAGGTGGAGAAATTTTGTTAGAAGCAAATGAGTAAGACATTGATATAGTTCAAAAAAAGAAATTTTGGAGGGCCATTTTTGGGTGCTCTAAGATAATGCACATGAAACTTGTTTGTAAGTTTATATCCACAAACATGTTTTTGAGATATTGTAAGTGAGATTGGATCTGCATAAAATTGGTTCTAGGTTGGACTTGAGGTTAATTTTTTGCTCAGATATTTTACGAGATGGAGGGAGTAATAAATCGTCTTAAGATATCTAGAATAAAATATCCCGCAGTGAGAATATCCGATTTTAAAGAATTCAAAGAATTTCTAAGATGTTATAAAGATGATTGTTTTTGTGAGAGAGAGAGAGAGAGAGTTAGATCATCTTCATTGTTACACATTCATGCAATAAATATCTTAAAAGCAGTAAACAATGTAGATGATATGATTACATAGTTTAAAAATATTCTCCTAATCTATAGTCAAAGGTGAGTAGACAAATTATGAATAAAAAAAGATAGATCAAAATAGATTAGGACTTGGACCAAAAAAGATAGGACCGGTAGTCTCATTTGGTCATTATTGAATTTTGGTGAAAGACTTGACCAGGACTGGACTAAGACAAGAGTTGTAATGCACATAAAATATAATTTGTACAAATACATTTATACTTTAAAATTAAAATTTTATATAAACAATTCGTCCTATCATTATAGAGAATCATATTTTCTGTTATTTTTATAAATTTATAGATAAGTCAAAACAAAATAAAAACTCATAAATGTACAAACCATGCAAATTAATTTTTCTTGCTGATTCTATCTTATTCTACTTTTCCATAAATGTACAAACCATGCAAACTCATAAATGTACAAACTCATAAATGTACAAACCCTACTTTTCTTAAGGGATTCAAATGGGTTGTTGTTGTTTTCTATTTAACTTTTACTTTAGAAAAAAAATATTCATGTTTTCTTAATATAGAAGTTAGATATAATTTCTTATTTTTAGAGTATCTTTTTGTTAAATTTCTTCTAAAACAGAATCAACATATACACAGTCACGCGAGCAGGAACAGACTCCTTACTCGTAAAAAATGAAAAAGAAACAAAAGATGCTAGAATTACTGGTAAATACCGAATAAAACTAGATTAAGAAAGTAAGTCAAATACCCTAAAACTGTAAACATAGAACCTGAGATCATGTACTAAAAACCATGGGTAGTTTCGTGCAGGAGGAAACAAATTGACTACAAATTCCTAGATATAGGATTGAATTCCTGAGAAGGAAGAACTATATTTTGAATCTCGAAAATAAAAAATATACTCTCTCCGTCCCTAAATAGATTACAATTTTTTTTCTCTCTCCTCTCGATAACTTTTGTTTGTTTACGCGATTTCATCAAGTATTAGATAAAATAAAATATTCTTGTCACCTCTTGTTTTGTAGAACTTTTGACGTAGTTTTTTAATATGTAATTTTTATATATTATTGATATACCAATTTGTAAACAAAATGATTTCAAAAAGTAGGAAATTTTACTCCGTAATTTTAAAATTTTTTATTTATTTTTTTAGTAAAATGTATTTTATTACATATAATTAGTTTATAATAAAATAAAATTTCACATTACCTATTAAAAATGTTTTACAATCAATAATATTTTAAATAAAATTTATTATTTTTAAAATTTGAAATAGACTATTAAAAAAATATTCAGGGGCGCTGCCCCGAGACCCCGATCAATGGTGCCCCCATCTTGTCCAATTTCTATATCCGCCACTGGATGTGCAGCATTGAATCCCTTTACCTTTTATATACTCTTCTCTCCATTAACATTTTCTATACTCCATATGTATGAGAGTATAACAAAAAAATCTTCTATTAAATTACGGGATTTAACATTTCAAAAGAGTCTAAGAAAATCTTCTTCTTTTGAAAAGCATAATAAAGGTTAAGAAACAAATGTTTAAAAAACAGAATAATATAAAAATAGAGATCAATATGTTCATGAAAAAATCAATGAAAAACAGAGGACTTGCCCAGTAGAAAGAAGAGAAACCAGGGAGAGAGAAAAAATATCGTAAAAAAGAAGAAAGCCAACTTAACCTGCTTCTACCACTTGCCCAAATAGGTGTGCCGGTTTGGAGGACTTATGAGACTGGAGAGGATGAGTTGTACTTGAATTGATGAAATAAAAGAAAGAGAAAACAATCATTTAATTTGTCCAATAAGTATGCCGTTTAATCTCTTTGGGATCCTAAGAGTTAGGAGGGGTTAGTCATAGTAAATATTAACGCTAATCCCTAAATCTTATAAATTAAAAAATAAAAATAAAAAACATATGTTCACAAGCCTTTTTGCGCATCAATACACTGCGCATATTGCAACGAGGCATAATAAGGCGCGCGCCTTACGAATAGCGCGCGCATCAAGGTTGGCGATGCACTACTCCTGGCGCTTCGTGCGCTTCGCGCCTCAGACGCGCTTTTCACAACTATATCTACGGGCAGCATTTAGCGTTAGCATTTTCAAAGTTAATCTAAGGGTCTAATTGGGAATAGCGTTAGAGATTAGTGTTAGTGTTTTGAAAAGGCGCATTTAGCGTATTCAAAGTAATCTGTAACATTAAAATTTTATTAAAATGCTGACGTTAAATTTTATCCAAAAGTAGCTAATGCAAAAAGCTATTCCGAAACAAGCCATATTTTGCAATTTGTGAGTCAATTCCTTGTTTCCAAAGAGGGTTGAGTTGGTTGACTTGGTTCCACTTTGCAATTTGCTGCGGCTTGGCACCATCATCGACGATCAGCGAGTTTACAGACGACATCGACTCGTCGTCGATCTCTCTCACTGCGTTCATATTCGTCGTCTCGCCAATTTGCAGTCAGCGTCTAAAGGCCAACTGCCAATCAACCGCAATCGGAATCGAGGTTTGATTACCCTTCTCTTAATCACTTGATTTATCATTTTTTTCTCTAATTCCTGATCCGCCGTTGCCCCTTGGTTCTCTTTTCCTTTCCTCTCTTCATTCGTTATATTAGATCTGCTCTGCCATAAGCCATAAAAAAGGGACCAGACCTGATTCTCATCCAACTTAGAAATGAGGATAGTAGGATTAACTGGAGGAATTGCTTCAGGGAAGAGCACTGTCTCCAATTTTTTCAAGTCCCATGGCATTCCCGTAGTCGATGCCGACATTGTTGCTCGTGTAAGTACCATCCCTTAGTGTGGCGTTATCATCATTCTATATGGAGCTTCAAAAGCATCTGATTGTTCATAAATTATTGGTGCATTTAAGCGCTTCATAATCTCAGTTGTGGATGAATAATGAATTAATGTTATGATTACTGTTTCTGATTGTGCAATGCGCAGAGTGTCTTGAAGAAGGGCACTGTTGGATGGGAAAAAGTTGTGGCTACATTCGGGGAGGACGTCTTACGGACCAACGGCGAGGTGGATCGTGCAAAACTGGGTCAAATTGCCTTTTCCGATCCTGCGAAACGGCAGCTTCTTAATAGGTGTGAATTTTGTTATTTGAAGTTGGCTACGTTTTTTTGCCATAATTTGATATTATCTCTGTGATGGGATTTCAACTACGTTTATGGTTTCTCATTTATATGATATAATGAACTTCAAATTTCTTTATGTTAGAAAAGTTAGCTACCAGTTAAGTATCCTTCTGCTGACTACTTGATTTGGTGGCTGTTTGTGATTAGATGAAAGGGCATTGAGATAGCAGGATTTTAATTTCGATGCACTTATTGAGTTAAGTTCTTAAGCCATATAAGAAATCACTTGTAGAGTCTCTTGATATTAAATCATAAATTTTGATTTTTGCTAATGATAATCTTGATACTATCCATAAAAAACATATTTAATAAAAGGTTATCATCAAGTGTTTTTTTATCTATTTCAGTCCCACATAGCTAAAACTACAGCTATCGATCAGCAGATTAATTCATCCTTGAACTACAGTGTTTTTGTTTCAGAAACATAATGGACTATATCAAAATGACACATTAAGCTCTACTCTCTATGAAGTTTTGGGCACTAAATGCAGGAAAGCATTTAGTGTATAACGGAAACGAACTATCTCTTTATGCAGGGATAAGAGTGCTCACATTTTGACCCTATGTTGGAATTATACTTGATTGTTGTTGTTGACTTGTTGTTATACTCTCTAGGGGGCATCACTCTCTAGTTAAGGGGACCTCCTCATATGCGTCACAATGTATAGTAAATTTTGCACGCTTTTCATGTGATTTTTGTATTGATGCATTTGTAGGCTGTTAGCGCCTTACATTTCACGTGGCATCTTTACCGAAGTCTTGAAGTTGTGGCTGAAGGGTTGCAAGACAGTTGTTCTAGATGTGCCCCTTTTATTTGAAGCCAAGATGGACAAATGGACTAAACCTGTTGTAGTAGTTTGGGTTGATCGTGAAACACAGCTCCAACGGCTCATGAAGAGGGACGGATCAACACAGGAAGATGCCAAAAGTAGGATAAGTTCCCAAATGTCTCTCGATGTGAAGAAGGAGAAGGCGAACATTGTGATTGACAATAGAGGGACACTAGATACTTTGGAGGTGCAGTTTGGGTCTGTACTGATTCAGATCACAAAGCCATTGACTTGGACAGAGTATGCCCTTACAAGACAGGGAGCTATTCTTGGTCTGGTTTGTATTTTTGTTGGCATTTTCATATGCAGGATTTGTGTGTGACTATTTGTTCACATTGTACTGTTTAGACTTGTG